CCTGTCCTTCCTTTTAGTACATCCCCCTAGAGCACACTGTCAGCTGACAAATTTTTGAGTTGAGTAGCAGACAGAGAAAAACAGAGGAGTCAAAAGGTCATGTACTATTCATATGTTGTTATTTTTGAAAGCCTTACTATACTACAGGATAATGCGATAAAACAGTGGATGAAATTTGGCGAAGTTTGTAATCCACAGAACAACGATTTAAAACACACACACACACACCCCGAAAAATCGTTGATAACGGGAGGCCTAACTCCGGGGTCTTTCTTGAAGGTGGAGCCTGGCCGCGGAAGTGAAGCGAAGCGAGAGCCGGAAGCAATGCAGCAGGCGGGGCCGGCTTGGGAGGAGGGAGTGGCCGCTAGTGCTGGGGCCAAGCTGAGTCCTGCGAGTCCTCCTGGGTGGGCCGCGGTGGCTGCTCCCGTTTCGGGAGAGGGTCCTCTGGGTCTGACCTGCCGCCATCATGCATGACGCCTTCGAGCCGGTACAGATTCTGGAAAAGCTGCCGCTGCAGATCGACTGTCTGGCTGCGTGGGGTGAGTCTAGAGGGTCTACGGGCGAGGAGTTCCAGCGGCTTTAGGGCTGGGGGCAAGTCAGCCTTTTGCAAAGGCGTCGCTCTGTGACTCTCGCTTCTCTTACCTGTCCCTCCTTCCTTCCTTATTAAATGTGTACCACGTTCATATATGGTCCATGTCTACCTGGAACAGTGGCCACCGGGTAGGTCTTGCAGTCACTGAAGTGGGTTCAGTGCCCCGGTTCCAGCTATTAGTATTCATCAGAAAGCGGAAGCAGACTTTCCGCTTTTTCTCTTTCAACGTCAAGCGCACATCTGATCAGTTTCAGATCGAGTGATCCTGAATACTGTGTACACATTCAAGGTATGCTCACATATTGTGTGACTAGTATGTCTGTGTTTATGAAAAGGAACTTGTGTCCTGTGTACAGTGTCTGTAAACATGTGGAGGTGCAAGGTAGATACATACCTAGTGATCATGATTGCTAGTTGATTACTGGTGTATGGTCCTCTGAATTAGCAGGTATGTGGCTTCCCATCAGATGTAACCCATTGGCGGGCTACAAAAGTGTAATATGTGAAGTGGCATTGTTTAGTGGGCTTTCAAGTGAAACCGAGGTACAAAAGTAAATGATTATTCATGGCCTGTTATAGTTTGTCTTCCATTCTCTGAGAAGAGTGTGTGAAAAGGATTGATCTAAAATGGAACCCACCTCAAATCTGTCAATTCCACCTCTTGGTCAGTTGAATATTAATTCTTTGTCTTGTTACCAATATGGTTGGTTTGTTAGGACTCCATAATTCATTCCAGAAAATGCTTGAATGATTATCATATGTCTGAAAAATGTGGTAACTATACACCTGGGAGTGACAGTTGACTTTTATTTATTTATTTTTGAGATTTTTATTCTGCCCTCCTCAAAATGAGCTCAGGGCGGATCACAAGAAGTTGAGTCCAATGCTCACTACAATAAAATCACATTAAAATCAGTTAAGACAATAAACAACAAAAATTCATACAGGTAGCAAGAGTTTCATATCTGCTAGAGCCATAGGTGGAATTAAATGGGCCCTTTCAGCAGATTGGGAGGCAGAGCAGGGAGGCCAACTAAATTGGGAGGCCTGCCACTTCAACTGAAGGCCTGGCAGAACAGCTCCGTTTTGCAGGTCCTGCAGAATGATAGAAGGTCCCGCAGGGCCCTGATCCCCAGTGGGAGCTGATTCCACCAGGTGGAGAAAGCCCTGCCCCTGGTCGAGGCTAAGTAGACATCCTTTGGGCTGGGGATAACTAGTAGATACTGATCCTCTGAGCGCAAGGTTCTTCAGGGCATGTATGGGAAGAGGCGGTCCTTCAGATATGTTGACTGTGCAAGGCTTTGAAGGTTAATACCAACACCTTGAAATGGATTCGGTACTCAATTGGTAGCCAGTGCAAGCGGCACAATACTGGCCGAATGTGTGTCCGCACAAACGATGCATCAGTAGGTGCGCCACTGCATTCTGTACTAAGAGTTTCTGGATCAGTCTCAAGGGTAAGCCCGCATAAAGCAAGTTATAGTAATCAAGCCTGGAAGTGACCATTGCATGGGTCACCATAGCCAAGTCCTGGGGTGGGGGGAAAGTAGAGGGCCAATTGCCTGATCTACTGGAAATAGAAAAAGGCAGACCTGGCAACTGTGGTAACCTGGGCCTCCATAGAAAGTGAGGTATCCAGGATCACCCCCAGGCTCCTCACCTTCTGGGCTGGTGCAAGTGACACACCGTCCAGGGTGGGCAGCCCAATCCCCATCCCAACTCCCCTCCCCCTGACTCAAGTACAGGACCTCTGTCTTCATTGGATTGAGTTTCAACCGTCTTTGCTGCAACCAACCAGCCATGATCTCCAATGCCCTGGTCAGAGTCTCTGGGGCAGAGTCTGGACAACTGCTCAATATCAGATGGAGTTGGGTGTCATCTGCATATTGGTGATACACCAACCCAACCTCCCAGACCAACTGGGTGGGGGGGACATGTAGATGTTAAACAATATTGGTGAGAGGATCGCCCCTTGCAGTACACCACACTCAAGTGGGTGCTCCGGGGAGATTCTCTTGCTGAGCAGCACCTTCTGTCCCTGTGGAGTTTAGGCCCTGGAATACAGGTCCTATTTACAGTATGGGAATGTCCTTTGAAAGTTACAGAGAACATGGGGTTGACTTCCAGTTGAAATAAGGGGACTCATCTTCTGCTTCATTGTGAAACAGTCTATGAATGTCTTGAGGTACATTGGATACAAAATGCTGTATTTGCTGTGTAATCTGTGTGCAGAACAGTAACTTGGAAGTTCTTAGGCAGGACATTTCCTATTCTTGCCTTAAGAACAATTAAAGAATTCATAAACTTTAGAATTCTCACAACAGGCTAGCTTTCTATATTATTATCCATTCTAAACTATTGTGAGCCTTGTCTTTTTCTTTTTTTCAAATTTTGATACCTTCAGAAAAACCCCCTCAATTATTTCACAAGGTGTGACAAGTAGCAGCAGTGTGTTGTGTCCTTAAAAATACCTGTGCATCCAAATGATATCTAAGTGAGTTATTTATAGCTTCACTGAGTCAGTCATTCTGCCCCAGATGACTGTACTTTCAGATGAGAAGTCTTGGGTAGAAAACAGAAAGTTGAGAGCAGTTCCATTTTAAAAATTGGATGTTATTGTGTTAGAAAGCATTGCCCATTATTAATTATTTTAGATATTTTTTCATGGGGAGAGGGGCCAATTTATGTAAAGTGTGCATGCACACAAAAGCTTATAACCAGGATGAAACTTTGTTGGTCTTAGGTTCCACTGAGCTCAAACTTCGTTCTGTTACATAAATACAATTAATCATGGTGTCTAGTGGATCTATTTATTTTGCCCTACTTAGCTGCTTAGGTAAGAATTTAATAATGGGTGATGCATTTGAAATTTGAACCCATGTAGACTGGGAAAGATTGAAGGTCAAAGAAGACGGGGACGGCAAAGGATGAGATGGTTAGACAGTGTCATCGATGCAACGAACATGAAATTGAGCCAACTTCAGAGGACGGCGGAAGACAGGAGGGCCTGGTGGGAGCTGGTCCATGGGGTCGCGAAGAGTCGGACTCGACTGTGCGACTAAACAACAAAAGACTAAAACTAGTGGATTCGCTATAACTAATTGTATTAGTGTGTGTGTGTGGGGGAAGTATGCATTTCCTTTCCCTAAATTTCTCTTAGGTTATTATCAGCTTATAGACAGATATCACTTAAAGGTGGGATTGAACAGAGAGAGAGTGTTTGCAGCACAGGAGCTGCAAGAAGGAAGAGATGAGAAATAGACCCTTATCAGACCTTAAGGTTTTCCTGCCCATTTTGCTGTGTCCATGTGCATGCAGTAGCTTTGGTTGGGGTACAGCTTCCTAATGGTGCTCTATGTGATAATATACAATGCTGTATGTTATAATATATATGCTTCTTGTGTATTTCCTTTAGTTGAACATGTTTTCCATGTATAAAATTAATAACATGTTAAGAATATTTAATTATGTGCCCTTTAAAAAGTAGAGGGCAAAAACAGTTCCTGGTACAATTTCATAGTCCACATAGCCATAAGTAATTTGCAGTGCAGTTACTGTACTGATTTACTCCTGTGTAAGCCCACAGAAATGGAATCTTTAGTACATGACTGCGGGGTATGTTTTGGTGATGCAACTGGTGTAACTTCTGAAAGGATGTATTAGGGAACCACAATCTGAATGCATATATTAGTAACATCAACCAGTGAAAAGCCTTGCTTGCAAATGTATAAATAGAGAATAGCTTTGCTGTATCAGATTTGTGTATCCAAAACCAGACCAATGGTTTTGTTATTTTACCTAAATACCCAGGAAAGGCTTGGGAAAAGGTTGATGATGTTCTTTCCTTATGCTAGTTTTCAGCACCTTAAAGAAGTGTAGAAAAATGCATGTCCATTTACTTAGTTTGATGTTTCACTTTCAGGAACCGGCTCCCATTGCAGCAGATGCCCCCCCCCCCAGTCTTCCTCAGGGTAGCCTGTCCCCCAGGAGCACCATTTTATAGAGAAGAGTGGGCTGCAGTGGAAAGAGGCAGAAGCGTTCTGTTCTACTGATGGAAAATTTAGTCTGGATCCAGCCTATTTTCCCATCCCCTCATCAAGTACCAGTTTTGAGTTTCAGCCAACAAGAATCAGATAAGATTACACCAGTAACTTATTGTGACTTCAGTTGCAGTGTGTTACTGTTTTCTTCATATTGATCTCTGAGAGCCAGTGTGGTATAGTGGTTTAGAGTGACAGACTCTTATCTGGGGATCTGGCTTTGATTCTGCACTTCTCCATGTGAAGCCAGCTGGGTGACCTCGGGTCAGTTACAGCTCTTTCAGAGCTCTCTGAGCCCCAAAATATGTCTAGCACCACTAAAAGAGCTAGAACTTACAGCTGCCAGACAATCTTAGGAACTCCTGCCTATACCACATACAGTGCCATACAATAATTAATTAATTAATTCATATTGATCTTGAAAATAATGAGGACAGGAAGCATTTTATATTCCTATTCCTAGGGTATTCCTAATTGAGCATACTTGGAAGTAAGTCCCATTGAAACCCAGAGAACGTAGCTCTGCAGAAATATGTTTAAAAAGTGAGTGAAATTGTGTGCCTACTACAGAGGTATCTCGGGATGGTGGCACATAAATGGCTACTTCTTTGGAACCTTTTAGTACGAAATGTAGGGACTGAATGAAAGAAACAGGATCTTATTGGGATTTATGTTTTTTTTAAATAGAGGAATGGCTTCTAGTTGGGACAAAACAAGGACACCTTCTCCTTTACACAATTCGAAAAGAAATAGGTAAGTTTGTCAAGATGTAGTCAAGCATTGCTGTATTGTAGCTTTTCAGTGACTTGACAGCATTAGCATAATAGAACAATTTTGCTGAATTACATCTTAAGACTGGTTTATTCAGTGTCCTTTTCTGAACATGGTGGTGGGTATGCACAAGCCTCAGACTCACTTGGATGCCATAATTGCCAAAGCATAGTATTAATGTACAACTAGGATCCAGTTAGCATTTCTCATTTTACAGACATATAAAACATGGCTTTTCTCATGAAACTTTTAAGAAAAAATCCAAAAACCTAAAATTCAAATTCTGGCAATTTGGCACTTGTGTGTCAGCTAGTTCAACAGTTGTTTGAAAGTGATAGGCTCTATGCATGGGTTCACAGCATATATAATTGAATCATAATAAGCAGCTCAAAGGGAGTAACACAGGCCTCCTGTCACTAAGGGTGTGACAGCTGATCTGTGGTCAGGTCTCCTGCTAGTGCCAGTTTTTTTCAAAAACAGCCGTGAAGTTTGGGCTTAGGCCAAATATTGATTAGGTGGGTTAGCCCATTCTGCCCCATGGCATGTCCTTGATAAAAATCATATCAACTCTTACCCTGCTCCTTTAACACTGTAGGCCCTGGCCCCAGCCTGGTGGAATACGCTCCCGCTTGACATCAGGGCCCTGTGAGACTTATTGCAGTTTTGTAGGGTCTGTAAAATGGAGCTGTTCTGCCATGCCTTTGACTGAGGTGGCGGATGCCCAAATTTTTGGCCTCCCCTGCTGAGAACTTGCCTGTGAAATCTGCCCATGTGAAAGACCTACTATCGCGCCTTCGGTCAGCAGGATTCCTGTTTTTGTTTTCTGGTTTTTAACATCACAAGATCCATGAATTGCTGCTAACTAGACCCAGAATTTTCTCATTTTAACTGCTTTTATTGCTTATATAACTTGTTTTAATTGTTGGATGTGTTCTGTTGTTACCCGCTCTGAGTCTGCTTGTGGGAAGGGTGGCATATAAGCCAAATAAATACAAATAAATAGTAAGAAGGAGATGTACAAGACTGATTTTCGATGTCTGGCCTACTTAACTCCTGAGGTTGCCAGTTACAGAGCAGTTTAAACATGAAATTCAGCCTTCTCTTTATTTCAGTTTACTATCTGGAATAAATAAAAATGGTTTGTGTTTTAAACATACTGGGTCAAGTGTACCCTCCTTTTCCTCTTTCATTTGGTTTATGGGGCTGCACAATGTATTAGAATGGGGTATAAAATCTACAGGAATACACATCTCAGATATATTTTTATCCTATGTTGAGAATCCAGGTATAAAACACACTTTGATGTGATTTAGAATGGGAAAGCCAACACCCAATTGCATTTCTGCCTTGCAGCTGCAATAACAGTGATATTGTTCAAATGTCGTCCTTATGTTATCCTAAGTCAAGATTTAGTATGAGCTTTTCTAAATCTACTTGAAGTAAGCCCCATTGAAACCCACAGAACTTAGTTCTGTATAAATATGTTTAAAATGAGTGAAATTGTTTGCATACTACAAAAGTGCCTCATTTAACCATTTCTAAAGTAAACATTTCTACAAAGTGACTTTTCTCAGTGTCAATAAAGTGATCTTGTGAGGGCATCCCCACATAATAAAATTGCAGATAACTTTGTACTGGTAAATCACTTAAAAATGAACTCTTTTCGGTGTATAACATACAGTTTTACATTGTGAATTGCTTTCATGGATCCCTTCACCAAACTGTATAAATCTATAGCTTACACTTTGAAAAGGGGGATGGGGAGATAACAAAGGAAAGGCAAAGACAGGAAAGAAAGTGGAAGAATGGGAGAGACAAGGGTGAATGTATGCAAAGACAGTTATCCGTAATTAAGTTTCATGTTGGTTGAAGGTGGTACTAGTGAATGCAGCTGATGGAAGAGGGCATGTTGGGTACCAGTTGGGTAGCAATATTCTAAGTTCTTCCTTGGAATAGTTACAAGAATAGAGAGTGAGATTGAGGTTGTGTTCATTCCTCTTTTGGACAACCTCATTGCCTCCTTAGAGAGACCTCATTCCGCTAGGTTTGCAGGGAGGCTAGATTCTTTGAGAAACCCAAGATGGAATTAATTTTTTATCAACTTAGTCTGTCAGTACCGGACAAGTCTTGCTGGTTTTGAGTTGTTCTTGTCTCACTTGGTAAATTTCTCCCCCTTTTTGCATCAACATCAGGAGAGGTTACGACATCAGAAAGTGGCTGTAAGTCTGTATCCATCAACCTCTTTTAAACCCTTGTGGTGAAGTGTTTTTATTTGTGCTTTGTAGAGATTGGATTTACTAGTATTTGGCATAGATAAAGGGTGTTGGGGGCTTTTTTTTCCCTAGAAAAGTTTTTTTTAAAAACCTTTTGTTAAATTAGCTTGTAAGATCACAAGGCTGTGGTCTAGTTTACTGGTGCTGTAATGTGTAGTCACTCAATTTCTTACAGTCCTCAGGTGGACCTGTGAGACTTGCAGCTCCTCTAAACTGATAAAAGAACTTTGCAGGGAATTTTGCTTTGGCTGATTAAAAAAACACAACACATGTTGGATGTAAATTTGAAAAGTATATTTGCTTTAAATTCCCTTTGCTGTTTGGTAGGTTGCAACAGGTTTGAAGTGAAACTAGAGAAATCACACAAGAACTTCTCAAAGAAGATTCAGCAGGTGGGTGTTGTAGTTTTGGGTACATGTAAGATTCTAGCATAGGAAACATTTACATGAAGGCCAGAAGTCATTTGAATGGGATCAGCTGACACTTGTAGTAGTTGTGTGGCTGACCTTGGCTTCTAAGAGTGCTCTTGTTACAATTGCTGCAAGAAAAGCCAGCATTAAAGTAACGTGCTTTCCTTGGTGTGGAACAACACACTGTATGCAATTCAGTGACCCCCCTCCCTCCCTTCTTTTATCAGATAATGCATCTGGGGGTGGCATCAGATTGAGAAGAGGAATGGTGGAGGGGTGAAAATTTTTTATGCACTCTCCTTCTAAGCTAGTTGTCCACTCAAATGTGTCTCCAAGTGATACAAGATGTAGGTCTATCTGCAGCTCTGAGGAAAAGAAGGCCCTCTGCCAAGGGCAAAGAAAAGGCCCCCTTGGGGAAAAATAATGGAACTTTGTGTTTTGTAAATTTTCCACCCTGGTTCTTTGATTGCTTTGTCACATAGTTCATGGCTATCAGCGTAAAGTCACTTAGTTGGAGGTAGGTAGCCTGCACAGAGATTAGATGCACCCTGTTTTGATTCCTTGTTTTGGTAAGTAAATTCAATTTCTAAAACAGCTTTAACTGTAATTCATTTACAGTATTCTCTCTCTCTTTTTAGATTCATGTTGTGCCCCAGTTCAAAATTTTGGTTAGTTTGTTAGGTAAGTGAAATAACTATTTGAGTTCTGAGCTACTTCTATTCTGAGGCAAGGAGTCATTTAGTCAGCTGAGCATGATTTTCCTTGGTCTGTTTCATTTGTGATGTCCTTTCTTCCAACATCCGTAGAACATTTTTGTGCACCCAGATATAGCTATGATATTCAGTAACGTCTTTTAAAAAGCTCTTAAAACAGATTATATCTTCTTACTCATAACTTTATCTAGCAGTTCATAGCACTTTTTCATCATTTAGCCCACAAACAACGTATCCTCTTTAGCAACAGAACAGTTTAGCAACAGTTTTGAGAAACATTGTGGTGTAGTGGTTAGTGTAAGACCAGGCTCTGGGGATGCAGATCTGAATCCCTGCTCTGCCATGTAACCTTGCTGGGTAATCTTGGGCCAGTCCCTTACTCTCAGCCTAACCTACCTCACAGTTATTATTGTGCGAGGATGAAATGGAGGAGGAGTAAACAATATTATAAGCTGTTTCATGTGCCCATTGGGAAGAAAAGTGTGGTACAGATAAATTTACTAAGGATGGGCATGAACCAGGAAAATGTGGTTCTGTTTGTGGCATGCCCTGTTTGCAAACCATGGACCATCACAGACTTTTTGACGCTAGACAAACTGGTTTGGCTTGTTACGATTGTGACACAGTAGAATGCCCCCCCCCCCCGCCATGCTAGAGACACCAACTTTCAGGGACTCTTTAACTGACTCTCCTCTACCTGCCCTCCAAGTTCAGTGAGGATTGGATTTACGGGGTCCGAGTTCTGGCCCCCCAAAAGTTGCCCACAGGAAAGTGCTTTCTGTAGAAATGACAGGTGCAGGTTCAGGAGTGTATAGAATAGTTCTTGTTCAAGCTAGAGACACCAAAATCACAGCAGATATCAGGGTGCCTCTATCTGCCCTCCATGTTTGGTGACAATTGGATTTACAGGGTCCAAGTTACGGCCCCCCCAAAAGGTGCCCCCATCCTCTATTGTTTCCAATGGAGGAAAAAAGCAAGGGCAATAGAAGCCCAACAGAACAGAATCAAAGTCCCAGAAAATCTCTGCAGTAGAAACTGAAGGTGAGGGGCATTTTTGCAGGCCCAGCAAAACCAGTGCAATGTGCCCAGCAGAACCAGTGGCACTGCAAAGCCAACAGGACTAAGTTCAAGGCAAGAAAGTGCTTTTTGGGGAAAGGTCAGGCACAGGTTCAAAAATGTATAGAATGGACCCTCTGCAAGCTACACACTACAGTGGGTCAGTGCCTTGGCAGAGAGGTTGCAGGAAGGCATCACCACCAGGTTGCATCCTCTCTGCAATAAAGGAGAGTACAAGCTGGCCTGTATAGACTGTGACCCCCAGACAAAAGGAAGCTTTGCTCTCCTGAATACAAAGGTCTTGCAGTGGAAGTGTGAGCTCTGCAAAGATTGCGGAGGCTACAGGCCAACAGACGTGGCCAGAGGAAACAGCAGCTGGAAGAGACTGGGGAGGAGGAGGGCCGCAGCCCAACACTTCTGCCTCAAAGAGCCCAACGAGGGAGAAGCGCCGCTACTGATTGTCAATAGTGAACCAGGAAGTCAGCAGCGATGGGGATGCCAGGTGTGCAGTGGCGGAGAATTTGGCAGAGGTGATGGCGAGGGAGTACCTCGCCAAGTCCCCTGAGACCGCAGACGCCGATCCCCTGGAATACTGGTCACACAAGGCTGTCATCTGGCCTGACCTCTCTTGCGTGGCCATGAGCCCTGAGTCCACTAACACCCAAACCCCAGCAGGGAGACCAGTTCATAGTCAGGAGGAGGGTATAAAACATGGGTCCTCACTCAGTCAAGGCACCCAGTAGCTCAGCCCCTCTGCTCAGCATGAGCAGAGAGATGGGGTGGCTCAGAGCCCTGAGTCTACCTACCACTTAAACCCCAGTGGGGAAGGGGAATTCACAATCAGGAGGGAGTAAATGAATGTGCTCTGCTAGTTAGCTTTTAACAAGTTCCCTGCCTCTCTGTGTAACTGCGATGCAAACAGCCAACAGACAAAAGGGTGTGGAGCTGAGCATATATATATATAGCTTTCTGATCCCATAGAGCAGAATGGGAACTCTGTTACTGGCAGCCAGCAGTGGCTTCAATTTTTGTTTCAAAGTCTGGTGAATTCCGGCCCCCCCCCCCCCTTGCCTTTATGTTTTGTAAACAGTTTGAGTGGAGACTGTCTGGAAATGTATCAATTCATGAACCGCCACAAACAGCACCAAAGTTCATGGAATGTTTGTGCCAGGCGCCCTTCCATGAACATCGCTTTGCGAATGACAAACCGCTCAAAATTCATGATGAACTTTAATTCGTGAGTTGGTTCATGTCCGTCTCTAAAATTTACAACAGTTACGTTGGCATCAGCAAGGCAGTAAGAAATGTTGCACTGTTCAATCTTATCCATCCTTTGTCTTTAAGGTATCATAATTGTATGTGTGTATACACACACACTTGTCTCTTTTTAACTTTGAAAGTGGTTTGAGAAAGATGGAGGAATTTCAGCTTTATTCTTTTATGGTGCAACAATAATTTAGCTGTCTTTTCCCAAACAGAAAACAGCATTTATGTTCATGACCTGTTGACGTTTCAGCAAATCATGGCAGTTTCCAAAGCTAAGGGAGCAACTCTCTTCACCTGTGACCTGCAGGCAAGTACAGGAGGGGAAACTGAGTATATGTTTCCAGTTCCAAAAGGGGGCCTGATTTTGTCAGCTGTGTGAGATCTTAATCATGTGAAATGAAAATGAAACAGAAGGATAATTTGATGAGAAGATGTAGATTGTTAATTACATATGACAATCAATGTTCCCTCTAAGCTGTGGAGTCTTGTGAGCAAAAATTCTACTTTGTGAGCTACAGGCCTTAAAGTTGTGAGTGAGCGATTTGGTGACTGCATAAATCAGTTTGCTCTGGAGCCGTCCTTCCTGAGCTAAGACAAAAATCTGTGAGCTGGAGGCTAAAAAACTGTGAGCTAGCTCACACTAACTCAGCTTAGAGGGAACACTGCTGACAATAACACTTTGGGAATAGGTTTTACAGTGAATAAGACTGATACTGCTTGCCTTTAATGGCAGGTTCTACACTAGGATGGGTGTGGTTGAATTTATCCTGGGGTGGAAAAAGATCACACCACAATTAAAATTTTGGGAATTCAGCCCAATCGGGTATCAAAACATTTGGCACATCTGTATTCCTGACTGACCTCTGCATAGGCCAGTGAAGCCAAAGACCTCGGTATCCTAGGAAGAAGAGCTAGAAGCAGCCTGGAATAGATTTTCCCTGTTTTTTCTCTTGGTTGTGTATAAGCCTACAAGGGGTGCTAGTTGGCTGCCAGTTGATGACGGCAGGAAGGCACTTCCTTGAGGTGTCTTTTTGTTTATTTGTTGTGCTGTATGGGTTTATATCAGTGAGGGACTTACATAGGCACAGTGCAGAGCTGGAAGAAGCACTGCTGTCATATTTTGTCCTGCTACTTCTCAATACCTTGGAAAACAATTCCAGTTCCAATTTCTGAAAATACTGAATGTTAGACATTGAGTAAAGTAGGCAAACTAATATAATATGAAGGCTCTGGTAACAGAATCTGGGCTTTTAGGGTGCTATGTTTGTAGCATTTTGGCTGTTGAGAACAGCCAGCCTTCCACCATTAATACCTAGAATCCGTTTCATTTTCACAGCATTCTGATACGGGAGAAGAAGTCCTGAGGATGTGCGTAGCAGTGAAAAAGAAGCTACAGCTCTATTATTGGAAAGACAGAGACTTCCATGAACTGCAGGTCCCTTGACATAAATTTTTCTTTGTTACTTGGATTGCAATGCTAGCTGATTTTAGCTTCAGTTTTAGAATTGTGTAGCATGCACATGTAAGGTAATTCAGGTTCAGCTGCAGGTTAGGCTAATGTCAGGTAGCAACCCACAGAAACCAGTTGTTCCTTATTTATTTATTGAATTTATTACAATATTTCTATCCCACCCTTTAATTTCATAGAATTGGCAAGGCAGTGACCAACAGTCAATTAAAACAAACAATATTGGTTAAAAATATGAGCAAAAAAGACAAAACATAGTAACACATAAGCCAGGAAAGTCACAAGTAGAGGCAGAAACCATCAACAAAATGAAAGACAAAAGCACCAAGGGAGTCTTATCTAGTCCTCAGGGGCTGTCCTAAAAAGCGCCATCTTTGCCTGGCTCTTGAATGCACAAGGAAAATAATTCCATTGTAGTGACACTGATGTTGAGAAAGCCCAGTGGCTACAAACTGTATTTCCAAAGTAGTGGAGATCTTAAGTAACAAAGATCTTAATGTACCAGGTAGTTTCGTTTGGGAGTAGGTTGGTGCATAAGAGAATTTCAGGAGAAGATCACCTGGTGTTTCATATATTACAGCAAAGCTTTTGATTGTGTTGATCATGAAAAGCTATGGTTGGTTTTAAAGGAAATTGGTGTGCCACAATATTTGATTGTTTGGATGCACAACCCATACTCAGGACAAGAGGCAACTGTTAGGACAGAATATGAAGAAACAGAATGGTTTTCAGTTGATAAAAGTGTCAGACAAGCATGTATTTTATCTCCCAGTCTGTTCAATCTATATGCAGAACATATATGGAAAACTGGTGGAAGCAACATTAACAGTTTGAGATATGTAGATGGCACTGCATTACTGGTGGAAAATAGTGAAGACTTGAAACAACTTCTGATGAAGGTTAAGGCAGAAATTGTCAAAGCAGGATTACAGCTGAACATCAGGAAGTAATGACCACTGAGGGATTTCACAGTTTTAAGGATGATGATGAAGAAATTGAAATTGTTCAAGATTTTCTGTTCTCTGGCTGAGTTATCAACCAAAAGGGAGACTGCAACCAAGAAATCAGAAGGAGATTGAGGAGACTAGAAAGAGCAACCATGAAGGAGCTAGAAAAGATCCTTTAAGTATAAGGATGTATCACTGGTGACCAAGATCAAGCTAATTTATAGTGTAGTATTCCCCATTACTATGTATGGGTGTGAAAGTTGGACAATGAAGAAAACTGTTAGAAAGAAAGCAGATTCATTTGAAGTGTGGTGTTAGAAGAGAATTTTAATGGGCTACCAAAAAGACAATTAAGTGGGTTCTATATCAAATCAAGCCTGAACTCTCCCTAGAAGCTAAATGACTAAACAGGCTATTGTACTTTGGCCACATTATGAGAAGGCAAGAGTCACTGGAAAATACAGTAATGTTAGTGTGGCACAAAGGCAGAAGTAGAGGCCAAAGTAGGCTTCACTTCCTGGGCAAAAGGCAGCCACTGCTCCATGATAGGGAGGGGCACCTTGTGAGAAGACAGTAGCAGTCCTATGTAAACCCAATAGAGCGAGGCAAGACTGATAAGAACATAAGAAGAGCCCTGCTGGATCAGACCAATGGTCCATCTAGTCCAGCATCCTGTCTCACACAGTGGCCAACCAGTTCCTCTGGATGGCCAACAACAGGGCATAGAGGCCAAGGCCTTCCCCTGATGTGGCCTCCTGGCTCTGGGATTCAGAGGAATGTGGAGGTTCCCCTCAGTTGCCATGGCTATTATCTGTTGATAGATTTATACTCCAATAATCTATTTAATCCCCTTTTAAAGCTGATAAGAGCATGAATCTGTCTCTATGAATCTATCTAATCCATTTTTAAGCTGAAGACAAGGAAGGGTTTAAGAGAGCAACAAGGTTTTGAGAAGGGAGAGATGGTGCTGGGCTTGACCAGCATGGGCACAGCCCCAGGGATCAAAAGGGTGATGTCAGAAGAGACACAGGAGGTGAGGGATACAAGCTGGCTGAGCAAAACTGAGGGAGTGCAAAGTAGGAAGAAAGAGGAACCTAAAGGAGAAGCTGGCGTGAGATAAAGAGCTACCAAACTGGGACATGCCCGGTGGACCTGCCCTAAGTCAGAGGCACAACTCAGCCCCCTGAAGTTTGAACGGCCAGAAATTGGCAGGTGAAGGGAACTACACTTGTGAGGAAGCCTGCGTGGAATTTGTTGTATCCAATAAAGAGGCAATTAAGGAACACCATTGTGTCTGGTGAGTCTCTACTGTCAATGGAAGTCAGTTATGATGTCCCACTGCCCCCTGGGGTGGCCACAGCTAGGGTTGAAGGCAGCAGGAAAAGAGGAAGACCCAACATGAGATGGATTAACTCAGTCACAGAAGCCACAGCCCTCGGTTTGCAAGACCTGAACAAGGCTAACGATAGGACGTTTCGGAGATAATTCATAGGGTCACCATAAGTCAAAAGCGACTTGATGGCACTTAACTCTCTCTCTCTCTCCCCCCCCCATTTAATATTTCTCACCTGTTGCTTCAAGTGTTATTTCCTCTGTAGAGACAGGAAAAAATGTTAGAATTGGCCCCAAATAAGAGTAAATCTGAAATGACATTATTTTTCATTTATGTTATCAAGTTTGCTTTGTGAGAGATGATTAAGATGGCAGTATGTAAGGGTAGGGGATGCTGCCACATGTGTGTTTTGAGTCTGTAGGACAAGCTACCACACTGAAGTACTGTGCTGAAAATCCTGATGACAATCGACTAGGCTTTTCCTCTCTTTGTTGTACAGGGAGACTTAAGTGTGCCAGATGTACCCAAGTCAATGGCATGGTGTAAAAATTCCATCTGTGTGGGCTTCAAGAGGGACTACTATATAATAAGGGTAAGAACAAGATTTTGAACTAATCAAGAAAAGTTATTTTTAAACTCGGTGGAAGTGGAAGGGAGGAAGGACTACAGCATGAGTTTCTGATATGCAGTGAAGTATGATGACCTGGATGGCTCAGGGTAGCCCAAGCTCGTTAGACCTAGGAAGCTAAGCAGGGTCAGCGGTGGTTGCCAAAGAAGTCCCGGGTTGCTGTGTAGAGGCAGACTATGGCAAACCATCTCTGTTCATTTGTTGCTTTGAAAATGCTACAAGGTTGCCATAAGTTGGCTGTGACTTACTGGCACTTTCCACACGATGGCCTGTCCTTGTAAGTTATTCATGATTGGGTGTACTGAGAAAGCACACAGGTGTCAGGTCTGCAGTTTTTTAGCTCATAAAAACATCAGAAGAGCCCTACTGCATCAGCAAGCTCTTGCACCATCCCATTACCTGCAGTGGCCAACCAGATACCCTGGGAAGTCCACCAGCAGGGCAAGAAGGTTATCACCACACGACAACTGGTATTTGGTAATATGCTGCTTCTGAACACGGAGGCTCACTTTAGTTTCCACTTCTAAAAGCTGTAGTCAAGTAATCTTGGTGCATGGGCTGTTGGGGGTGAGGACACACATTTTGGAGTATCAAGGGCTGTTCTGTGGTGGTGTTTTGTTTAGCTGGTATGAGGGATTGTGATTTTTCTTCTCACAGGTGGATGGAAAGGGCTCCATCAAAGAACTCTTCCCCACAGGAAAGCAGCTTGAGCCACTGGTAGCCCCTTTGGCAGGTGGCAAAGTTGCTGTAGGCCAAGATGACTTAACTGTTGTGCTAAATGAAGAAGGGATGTGCACACAGAAATGTGCCTTGAACTGGACTGATATCCCAATAGCCATGGGTAAGCACCTAGTTCTTTGTCCTCATTTAATTCAATGGCAACTGCTGTCTCCCATACTGATCTCGTATGAGTCAAACAAATTAAAACGGCTTGACAAATGTTGGCATTGACTTCACATTGTTCTGTGTGATAGAAATTATGAAAATGTGATTGACATTCATTTCCATTATGAATAATGTAGTTTAAAGCGAACATAGAACTACTTTAGTAAAGTTCTTTTAGTGCACAATAAAAAGGCTCAAAAGTATAAAGCAAATAAGCACAGCAACAGCTAAGGTAATTTTTATAGAAGTAATTTACCATTTCTGAAGATATATATGGGGACATTGATCTAGTATCATATACTATTGCTGACTATTGCATTTCTAAAACAGAGCATCAACCTCCTTATATTGTGGCAGTACTGCCAAGGTATGTAGAGATCCGTACTTATGAGCCCCGTCTCCTGGTACAGAGTATTGAGCTGCAGAGGCCACGATTCATTACTTCAGGAGGGTATGAATGTTTTAGTTGTCTTTCTTTTTCTCTTGGTGAACTGTATTGTTGTGTGAATCAGCAATGTTTGCTGTCTTTTTAAAATATTTGGGGAACGCACATCTTCCATTTTATTATGGAATGTTGCTAACTGGTCTTTTCTTCTTTTTTCAGTACAAATATTGTGTATGTGGCCAGCAATCATTTTGTTTGGCGACTTATCCCAGTTTCTATTGCAACCCAGATTCAGCAGCTTCTCCAAGATAAGCAATTTGAATTGGCTCTGCAGTTGGCAGTAAGTGGTGGGTTGGAGACCATCAGTCTGTATTGATTCTTTACCTCTGTAAACTGCTTCTCTGTAGAAGCTGTCTCTGAACAGTACTTTAAGCCCATCAGCTTAAAGCCTGTATCATTTGGCCCTTTAGGTGTGTTGCAGGCGGCAGCTAGAAAGGTTCTCTAATGGCTGCCACCATTCTGGTATGGGTCTCCTTGGGAGGGCCTAGAGCACCCACCCTACTCCTTTATACAGTACTTTCCCAGTAGGTTTCCCTTTATATATGACCAAATGAGGCATGAGGACCCAGGCAGAGTAACAAACTAGTTTTATTAAAGAGATTTAATAACAACTGTAGTTCAAAACATGTAAGGAAAATGAGCACAGTAATGGTAGGTAAATCAGTAAAATAATAAATCCAAATGCTTCTGACTCTACTGTCCTATCCTTCTCTATGCACCTGGTCTCAGACTGACTCACCCCTTTTGGATGAGGGATTCCTCTTTCTGCAGCAGCCTTACCAGCTCTGCTCCCTGAGAGAGAGAACCCCCTTCCACTTTGGACAAGACCTTTTATCTCTTCTTCCCAGGCACTACCCTCTGCTCCCCTGCGGGTGTAGTTTTCTCTCCAAAATCCCCTGTTAACCGATCACCGAGTCCAGAGGGGACCTGGGAAATGTAGGCCCTGATAGCTACTCCAATACAGGCTTCCTGGGAGCCACTAGGTCTCCCTAGAGCCTGCAGGCCACACCACTATAGGCCCATGATCATGATAAGGTGTTACAAAAATCTTGATTTTATTTCCATCATCTTGGAAAATTTGGTTCCGGATTCTGTTACTGAACTTATAGCGTGTACTGTTCTTTATGGTCTTGATCTCAGGATTGTGGTACAGTCCTGTTTTATACAAAGTTTATTTTGCAGAAAGAGTAGAGAGTATGACTAATCTTCCTGGCTACTCAGTGGCATTCAGGTGCTCTACAACATTGGTCTAAATATACCTGGTGTTCTAGGTGATGCTGTCAGTTGCCACTTTCCCATATTTAATGCTCTAAATCCCTAACAATCACATGCAGTTGGCTTACTTTTACATGGGTTATGTTTACATATATTTATATATATTTATTTATATATTTTTAGCATTACATAGGTAACTTTTCTCTTTGTGATGCATTAACTATGAGATGAGTAGGGATGGGCATGAACCTGAGAAAGGTGGTTTGTTTCAGGGTTCAGGGTGGCCCACAAACTGAGCCAAATGGGCCTGACCTGAACTGAACCAGTCCAGGAAGTTTGGTTCCCCATTTCTCCTGGCTACGGCTTGCTGGAAAGGACTTCCCTTCCTCCATTCTCCTGGCATGACTCACCATGGCCGGGAGAAAAGGGGTGGGGATTGCCCGAAGAGGCTCCCTTCCACTTCTGGCCATAGCTCACCTTGGCCCGGAGAAAGGGGGCAGGATTGTCCTGAAAGGGATTCCCTTCCACCTTTCTCCCAGCGGCAGCTCGCCCTGGCCAGGAGAAAGGGGGAGGGGAAGGGACTCCCTTCCACTTCCCTCCTGGCCGAGGCTTGCCTAAAAGAGAATGATGTGTGTCTTGTGATATATACTTCCTTTTCTTGGCTACTCTGTCTGCTTTTTTGCTGGTTCTGGCCAGTGTATTTTTTTTAAAATGCAGCTTTCAAGAGCTATACATATTCTTTTCAATCAAGGTATCTTATTTTTATTTAAACATTCCGTTACTGTTTCTTAAATTTACATTTGAACAAAATATTTTTCCTATCTTTATACTTACTAGGATATGAAAGATGACTCTGATAATGAAAAGCAACAACAGATCCATCATATTAAGAATCTCTATGCCTTCAATCTCTTTTGCCAAAAACGCTTTGATGAATCTATGCAGGTCTTTGCTAAACTTGGGACAGGTAACTTACTCGGACATGAAGGAGGGTGGGTATGGGAAATCATGGTAACCCCTGAAGGTTGAACTTGTGCATAAACTAAACTCTCAGAATTCCAGAACTCTTTAACTGTTCATATTGAAGTTTAAAAAGTGGAATTGGTGGCCTGGTAAAGTATAAAGTGCAAATATTCTGGAACTACTGGCTTGTCTGAGAGCACCAGATACTGTAGCTTTGCTGAAGCTCAGTGGGCATGGACCTGGTTAGTGTTATGGACAGGATATTACTAGGAGCTCTATGTAAGAATAGGATATGCATATCATTATTAGGATACAGAGAGGTGCAGGATTCTTTCTCTGGGAACAGAACTATCAACTTCTAAAATTGCAGGCTTGGAGAAGAGGAGTTTCCTTTATGGAGACAAATAGCCAGAATGGGGAATAACCATTTGCACACCTGCCAGGAAGGGGCAGGATAGATGGCATTTTGGATATAGTAAGTGGGTTCATAAAAAGTTGGGGGTGTGCAGCTTAATTAGATTGGAGGAAATGTACATGTGGAGATCCATTCCCAGCTTTGTGATAGTTGGCAAAGTTTAACTTCCTCAACTAGAACAGAGAGGTTTGAAGGGCCTGAACACCCCTACCAGCAGCACTCAAGCCCAAGACTCAGAACAGGGAGCAAATAGAATGAAGTCTGCCTTGGCTAGTCTTTGTTTTCAAAGTTCCTGCTGGTTTATGTCCATTCCAGGGAAGGGAATGCCAAAATAACACCGATGGCTGTATAACCTAGTTAGCCTCATATGTTTTATGTTCTTTTTAAAAGTCTGCAGTGTTTTGATATACAGTAATGTGCACTTGTTAATTGAGAGTGTATTTTAGTGACTAAAGATCTTTTCCTCTTTAAGATCTCAGACTGTGGTAAAAATTCTTACCTAGGTGCCTGACTACTTATTCCATGCATAGACCTGAAATTCATGACTGAGCTACAGACAGTTAGGTGGTCAGGAGGAAGGGGGTGTGGGAGAGAGACCATGCACACTGCCCCATCCCTGACTCAAGTCACCGATAGAAGGAGGAAGAGCACAGCTTCACTGTTGGCATGCTGCCCCTTACAACAGGAAGGAGGGGGCAAGTAAGGCAGGCCCTCTTGCATGCAGATTCTCCTCTGTCTCTTGGGCAGAGATGGTGAGAAGGGAGGAGGGGAACAACTCGATCTTCTTCGTGGTCTCTATGCATCTCACCTATGGGTTAGGCGCCTGCACCGGCTCCGAACTGGGAAACTTCTGTCAAGCTTGAGAGGATTTGGAGCCCCGCCTCCGAGCATGCGCAGTAACTCCTACTGCGCATGCTTGGAGAGTGGGGCCCTGGTATCCCGACAGTTCTTTTCTGACTGCCACGCTGATTGCACAATCTGCTTCGGTCTGGGAACTTTTGTGCTCTTAGAGACAATTTTTTCTTCCTTTGGTCCCTATCCTTTCTTTTCTTTATTATTTTTTTCCTTTTTAGTTTTATTTCTCTTATTTCTAAAAAAGAACCGGTAATTTCTTTTGCCGACTTTGGTCGGCCTTCCCCCCTCACGGGCTCCTCACGGTCCTGCCCTCCTCTTATGGCAAAGAAGTGGGGGTTCTTCAAACGGCACTCAGTGCAGATAAGCTCACGCAGCCAGACGAACACTCCTTGTGCTTGATCTGCCTGGGTGAGGCGCATAGAACTGATTCCTGTGTCCATTGCACCAAGTTTTTGAATCAAACTAGGAAAAATAGAGCTGCCAGACTTCACGTTGCTCTCCTTGAATCTGCCTTACGTCCGGCTTCGATGGCTTCCAGTCAACAGGAGGTAAACATTTTGACTCCGACGGACCGACCTCGATCGGCACCAATAGATTGGCATCGATTGGTATCGACCCCGAGCCTCCGAGTCACCAGATACAGCTCCCAATAATTTTGGGATGCAGACAACGATGGCACCAACGCAATCGACCTGGTCAGTACAGTACAGTACACTGACATCCAAGAAAAGGAAGGATGGCAAGAGCCACACTGAGGGGAAGCACAGGCACACTAAGACTGGCTCTAAATCGGCTCCTGAGAGTACGGCATCAAGTTCCATTGTGCAGGCTGTTAATCCCCTACTGCGATTGCTGTCGCCGAGCTTTTCCACTGTGTTGGCAATTCCTCCAATTATGCTGCTGGACTCACCGATACAGCAGTTCGACTCCCCGATGCTGGGTGGCCACCCATCGGGATTGGAAGTTGAGGTACTTTCCCCTCATCAGCTGGCCGTCCACAAGAGCTCCGGGTCATCGGGTTCGGACCAATCCCGCTCGCCTATCGACACAGACTGTCGGCACTGGTGTAGAACAGAGCGGAAATGCGACTGTTCTCTCTCCTGACATCGGAATCCCACTAGTCGTTCTCGGGACCAATCACCTCTCCCTCAACAGCCTCCTGGTTTCACCATCTCACAAGTGCCCATGATGGTCCCCTGGGACCATAGACAGTTCCAGTATATGTACGGAGCCTTCCCTCTGGCTACATCATTTCCTTGGCTACAGCAGGGCAGGACAGTGGATTGGGATCAGAGATCCAGTGTCTCCCATAGGGCCCGCTCTCCTGTAAGGGACCAGGCTACCCCGACACTGGTACCTTCGACGGCTTGTGAGCGCCCATCAATACTGAAGGGTTCCACTAAGAAGGGCTCCAACCCATTGCCACTGGTGGCACCTCCACCTCCAGCACTTCCTCCTCCACTGGATGCCATTGAGCGTTCCGCATGAGGAGTCGGGTGATGAGGACACATCTCACTCCACAGGATCTGACTCAGATGGAGGCGGTTCGGATGCTCCAGCCTCCACTTCACGCCCCTCACCAAGTCAGCAGGTGGCAGACGACCTACTTATCTCCCCTTAGGAGGACCTCCGCTCGTATGGAGACTTGATTAAGAGAATGGCCCATTCGTTGGGAATTGCCATCTCTCAACCTCAACCTCAACCCCAGGTCACGGATGCCATCTTCGACATCATATCGTTGGATACGTCGACGTTGGTAGCTCTCCTATTAACTCAGGTCCTGCTGGAAGTGGTTAAATCACATTGGGATACACTTGTTTCTACCCTGGTCTCCTCTAGGAGACTGGATCATATGTACAAGACTCAGGAGTCAGGAGCTGAGTTTCTATGTTCCCACCCCAAGCCTAACTCAATGGTGGTCACCCTATCGAGCAAGAGCAAAAAACCGCACTCTACCCCAGTGGATAAAGAAAGCAGGAAGCTGGATGCGTTTGGGAGACGTTTTTATTTGGTGGGTTTCCTGGGTGTGAAGACCGCCAATTACATGGCTTGTATGGGGAGGTATGAATATTCCTTGTGGGAACAAATATCACTCCTCTTGGTACATTTTCCTACACAACACTTGGATGCGGCTTGAAGAATACAAAAGGAGGGCATGGTGTTGGCGAAACAACTTATCAACTCTGCTAAACACAGCTTGGACACCAGTGCCAAGACGATATCATCTGCGGTAGCCCTTTGGCATCATTCCTGGCTTCACACCACATCCCTCCAGATAGACACTAGAGCATTCATAGAGGACTTACCTTTTGATGGTCAAGGCGTATTCCATTCTACCACAGACTCTGTCCTACAGGAAATGGACAAGAGCCTTAAGGCGTCATGGAGTCTTGGGATCTCTTCCTCTTACAGGCCTCACAAATTTCAAGCCTTGGCCTCGAACCAACAGGAAACCCTACAACCGGCAATCTCCAGATGGCTCCTGGAAATCGAGGAACTCTCAATTCTCTTCCAGGTCTGCTTATTCTCAGAAGTCTAGGTTTCATCAGACCTCCAACCAGGTTAAGGGGAAGGTGACCAAAGCCTCTAAACAGGGCATTTGATTCTCAACCCTATTCCCAGTCTCCGTTCCCCCCCCACTTTTGGGGATACCCGCCTGGGCTCCTTTTACCCTGTGTGGAGCCAAATAACATCGGATGTGTGGGTACTCTCCATCATTTCCAAGGGCTACGTGATAGAACTGATTCACTCGACCTCAGAACCAGTCTTTGGTTCTACCGCGATTTCACCTGCCCTCCTGCAGGAGGTGCAACAATTACTGGAAAAGAATGCCATAGAAGTGGTCCCTCCTGCAGAAAAGGGACAAGGTTTCTACTGTTGTCCCCCCCCCAAGCACCAAGAATACAGTGCATCACCTGCCCCAGCCTGTGAGTTCCTATCTATACCTTGTGGCTAGTAGCCACTGGGGGGGCCATCCACAAATAGATGTCTTCGCTACCAGGGCAAATTCCAAATGTGCCCAATTTTTCTGCAGAGGGGGCACAGACCCCCGTTCCCTGTGGGATGGCTTTCTGATTCCCTGGCAGGAGAAATCTCTGTTCTTGTTCCCACCGATACCTCTCATCACGAGAAAGCTAAACAAGATACTGCGTCACAAGCCGGACTGCCTTTTTGTGACCCCTTGGTAGCCGAGGCAAGCATGGTTCCCTCTGCTTCTGCGCTTGTCCAACAAGACGTTCATGCATTTCCCTCACGTGAAGGACCTGCTCTTGACAGAGAATGGCCAGATACTGTACCACAACGTGCCTCGTCTCAGACTCACAGCCTGGAGGATATGAGGTGGGTCTTTTCTAACAGGGTTA